CCTACACCTATATCTTGTCAGTTACTGTCAATATTTTCTTCTAATAGTTTCAGGGTTTCCAGTTTCACATTGAGGTCTTTGATCCATTTGGAGTTGACTTTTGTGCAAGATGAATGATAAGGTTCTAGTTTCATTCTTTGATAGATGGAGATCCAGTTTTGCCAGCACCATTTGCTGAAGATGCTCTTTCCTCCATTGTGTGTTCTTGGCACCTTTGTCAAATATCAGGTGGTTGAAATTGCATGTACTCAGGTTTGGCTCTTTAGTGACATTCCATTGATCTATGTGTCTATTTTTGTGCCAGTACCATGCTGTTTTTAAGACTATAGCTCTGTAGTATACTTTGAGATCTGGTATAGCAATCCCCCCAGTGTTGCTCTTTGTGCTCAGGGCTGCTTTGGCTATCTGGGGTCTTTTGTGTTTCCATACAAATTTAAGGATTTTTTTCTAGTTCTGTGAAGTATGTCATGGGGATTTTGATTGGGATTGCATTGAATCTATATATTGTTTTGGTAAGATGGTCATTTTCACAATATTAATTCTTCTAATCCAGAGCATGGGAGGGGTCTTTTCATCTCCTGGTGTCCTCCTCAATCTCTTTATAACGATTTAAAATTTTCATTGTAGAGATCTTTGATGTCTATGGTCAGATTTATTCCAAGATATTTTATTTTATTTGCAGCTATTGTGAATGGGAGCAGGTCCCTGTGTTCTTTCTCGAATTGCTTGTTATTGGTATATAGAAAGGCTACTGATTTTTGTAGATTGGTTTTATAACCTGCCACTGTACTGAAAGTGTTGTTCAGTTATAGGAGTTTTCTGATGGAACTTTCAGGATCCCTTAGGTATAGTATCATATCATTTGCAAAAAATGATAGTTTGACTTCTTCTTGTCCAATTAGTACTCCTTTAATTCCCTTCTCCTGTCTTATTGGTCTAGCAAAAGTTCAGGCACTATGTTGAAAAGGAGCAGAGATAGTGGACATCCTCTGGTTCCTGATTATAATGGGAATGCTTCTAGTTTTTCTCCATTTAGAATGATGTTGGCTGTGGGTTGGTTGTATATAGCTTTAATTATGTTGAGGCATGTTCCCTCCAGTCCATTTCCCTCTAGGACTTTGAACATAAATGCATGCTGAATTTTGTCAAAAGCCTTTTCTACATCTATTAAAATGACGATGTGTTTTTGTTTTTGTTTTTGTCTTTGAGTCAGTTTATATGATTAATGACATTTATTGACTTGCATATGTTGGACCATCCCTGCATCTCTGGAATAAAGCCTATTTGAATGCCACAGTGAATGATATTTTTGATGTACATTTGTATGCAGTTTGCAAGTATTTTGTTGAGAATTTTTGTATCTATGTTCATTAAGGATATGGGTCTATAGTTTTCTTTTTTGGCTTGTCTTTACCTAGTTTGGGTATTAGAGTGATATTACTTCATAGAAGGAATTTGAGAGTTCGCCCTCTGTTTCTATTGTTTTGAATAATTTAAGTAGTATTGGTTGGAGGTCTTCTTTAAATGTCTGGCAGGATTCTGCTGTAAATCCATCTGGGCCTGGGTTTTTATTACTGTTTCGATTTCCTTATATGGTATGGGTCTATTTAAACTGTTGATCTCTTCTTGTTTTAACTTTGGTGGTTCCCATGATTTTAAATATCCATCCATTTCTTTTAGATTTTCAAATTTAGTAGTATACAGGTTTTTAAAATACTCCCTTATAATGATCTGGATCTTCTGGGTGTCTATTGTGATGTTTCCCTTTCCATTTCTGATTTTGTTGATTTGGATTTACTCTTTCTTTCTTATGGTTAACTGGGCTAGGGGTCTGTCTATCTTGTTTAGCTTTTCAAAGAACCAGCTCTTAGATTCATTGATTATTTGTATTGTTTTCTTTGTTACTATTTCATTAATTTCTGCTCTGATTTTTGTTATTTCTTCTCCTGGGTTTGGGTTTCATTTGTTCTTGCCTTCCCAGTGTCTTGAGTTGCAGTGTTAGGTCATTTGTTTGGACTCTTTCTGACTTTTTAATGTAGGCACTTAGAGTGATAAACTTCCCTCTTAAGACTGCTTTCAACATGTCCCATAGGTTGTGTTGTGTTGTATTGTCCTTATCTATTTGGAATTCTAAATGCTTCTTATGTTTGGATGTCTGTTTCTTTCTCAAGTTTTGGTAAATTTCCTGTTATCGTTTCTTTGAACACTATGCCTTCAGTGTTTAATCTCAGCTCCTTCTTCTACCCTTCAGATTCTTAGGTTTTATCTTTTTTGAACTTCATTTTATTTTTTATTACGTGTGTGCACATATGTGTGTGCAGTACAGGCATGCACGTGCCACTGTGCATATATGGAGATGAGAGGACAACTTTTTGGACTCATTTCTCTCCTTCCATCTTTACATAGGTGCTGGGGATCAAACTCAGGTCACTAGGCTTGTGCAGGGAACACCTTTAATCTTGGAGCCTGCTCACTGGCCTAGTCTTTTGTCTCCTGACTATGTTCCTGGATGTTGTGGTCATACTTAATTTTTCCTCCCTCATTGATACTTTCCTTATTAATACAGTAGTTCATCAATTGGCCTCTGTCCCTATAATCTTTCTCCTGCTTGTTCAAGTCTATTTATGGGATTTCCACTGTGTTTTTTGTTCAATTAACTGAGTTTCTCATTTCAAAAATTTCTATTTTTAAAATAATCTCAGCTTCTTTGCTGAATTTCCCCATGTTACTGACTTTTTCTTTTTTTAATAGTTTTTTAAAAAAATGTGTATGAGTGTATTACCTACATGTATGTAAGTGCACCCATGGTATGCAATGCCTGCGGAGGTCAGAAGAAGGCACTGGATTCCCCGGGAACTGGAGTTATGGAGAGCTGTTAGCCGCCATGTAGGTGCTGGAAATCAAACCCAGGTCCTGTGCAAGAGCAGCCAGTGCTCTTAGCTGCTGAGCCATCTCTCCAGCCCTGACTTTTTCATCTATATGGCTGATTTTTCATGCAAATTTTTAACTCTGCCCTCTGTGCTGATGACTTATCTCTGTACTGTACTGATTTTGTTTGCCTATTTTTATCCTCTTTCAAGTCACTGGTCATTTTTACTATAGAACTTGTGAAATTTCCACCTGACATTTTTTTTTCTTATTTTGAATATCCCACTTCACTGGCTCTCAAAGGAGCAGTCTCTAGTCTGCCACTTACCAGGAAATATTCAGTATTATGCCTCCAGCCCCACCTCTCGTCTTTCCTGTGGCTCCTGTCTGCTTTTCCTTCCATTGAGCAGTTCTGTCATGGTGTGAGATGCCTCTTTGCCTCTGCCTCAGGGTTGGCTCCCTGCTTGAGTGTGCATATTCCTCATGATTGGTTTGCTGCCTTCATTTTGAGTGTGTTTTCCAAGAGCTTCCTAGTATCTGGAAGGGAGATCTTTATGACTGTGTGTGCCCCAAAATGGAGTTATTCTATGCTCATATGATCATGGTTTGTCTAAACTTCAGCTTGTAAATAATTTTGTGTAGGACATGTAAAAAACACTGCTATGCTCCCCTTCCTAATGCTGCTTTTAATTGAATGATGTTATTCTGATGTCCAGTTCTTCATATGTAATTCATTGTTTGTTTTTCTGGAGATCTAAAATCTTCTCTTTATTCACCATGATCTAGAGTTTCTTACCAATGTTTTTGGTGCAGTTTTTTGCCCCACTCCCCTCTGGTCATGTGTTTAATAAACTGCTGAAATTTCAGACTCTATTCATTCTGGTTCCAAGAAATCTTCTTAGGGGCTTTGTTTAGAATGTCTTTCCTGTCCATTTTCTCTGTTGTCTCTTTAGGTTCTCCTGTGATTTGGATGCTGGTTTGACTGTCTGATCCCCCAATTTTTAAAATGGATTTCCTCCTTTTATTCATCTCTGTTGCTGTTGTGGTGGTGGTTGTATATTCTGGGAGGTTTTTAGAAAAATGTGTTTCTGCTTTCTATTTTTTATCCTTATTTAGCTGTTTAGATTGTTGGTTTTGCTGAGATCATCTTTGCTCAAATGTCTAGTGATCTTTGACAGTTCATTCATGTGATAGAAATATGATGATTGATCTTATTAAGGCGATTGGAACTTCTGATACAGACTGCATTTGCTGATGACTTTGCTGCAGTGAGAACCTGGCCATTTGGTTAGGCTTGATTATTTCTCCTGAGAGAATGCAGTATTGTGAAGAAAGAGAGAAAGGGAGGAGGAAGTGGGGGGAGAGAAGGAGTGAGGGAAGGAGGGAGCGAGGGAAGGAGGAAGGAAGGCTCCCTGACGCTGAGACACGTGAGGTCTGGAACCTGGTTGTTTATCACGACTTGTTAGACTCCTTCCCTGTTTTCTGTCCCTTTTTTATATTCTCATTCTGGATCCTGACTCTCCCTGCTTTAGTTTCTCCAGATATTAAGCATCCCCCCTCCTGCCTGGGCAGGGGGATCCATTTGGTTCTAAAGGATGAAAGTAGTAAGTCTGAGTTTGTGCTGTGCATCAGGCCCCTCCTTTCAGAACTGGCTGGTGCTTTTGGTTCCTGAGCTGTTTCTCAAGTTCTGGAGTGCAAATCTGCTTGCTTTTTATTGGCCTTGCCACATCATGCAGTTAGGTTTCAAATTTCCAGGGCCTGCCAAGACAGTTACCACTTGACATCTGCTTTCCATCTTGAAAATTTTTCTTGTCATTTTTCTTTTGCTTCCTCAAAGTTTTATGCTACACTTTTTTTTTTTTTATTTTTGGTATTTTTGAGACACGGTCTCCCTGTAGCCCCAGCTGGCCTGGAACTCACTATGTAGACCAGGCTGGCCTTGAACTCACAGAGATCTGCCTGCCTCTGCCTCCCAAGTGCTGGGGTTAAAGGCGTGTGCCAGCACACCCGGCTTATGGTACACTTTTATTCCTTTACTGCTATTTTATTGAGGTTTTGGAAAGCATTCTCATAACGCCATATATTCAAACTTCAAGTAAACCAGAATCCTTATCTTTTTCTCTTTACCATAGGACATGGCAGCCTAGAGTTATCTGAAGACATACACACACGTATCAGGTAAGTTTTTCTTTATAGATGTCTGTGTCGATTTATAAACCAAAGCAAATACTGACTGAAACTCCTTATATGTTTTATAATTGAAATTTTATATTTTAAAAAGGTATATTAATTTGTTGTTATTAATAATGTATGAGGAGTTCATATATTACTACTGTATTTGAATCATTTCTGTCCTTTTCTCTCTTCCCTCCAATTCTTCCCACATCCCCACCACTCCTTCACAATTTCATGACCTATTCTTTGATTATTATTGTTGCATATACATAAATACATGTTATATATACTTATACATGTATATATATATATATAAACTCCGCTAAGTCCATTTAGTGGTGCTTGTATGTGTATGTGTTTAGGGTCGACTACTTGGGATTGGATAATCAGTGAAGAAGCTTGTCCCTATAAAAAACTGCTTCTCTCCTTCACCAGCCGTTGATTGCCTGTAGCTTTTCATCTAGAGATGACGAGATCTTGTGAAATTTCCCCTGTCCACATTGGCCTGCCAGGTGTTGCTGTCCCTATGCAGGCCTTGTTTAGGCAACCATATTGAGATGTCATGGGTTCAGCATCCCTGTAATGTCTGGAAGACACTGTTTAGTAGCAAGTGTCCCGGTCCTCTGGCTCTTACAATCTTTCCACACACCCTTTCATTTTTTTATTTGTTTGTTTCTTTTATATGTATGAGTGTTTTGCCTGCGTGTATGTCAGTGTACATGTCATGAAGCCTGTGGAGACCAGAGAGGGCATTCAATATCATGCACATGGAATTTGGATGGTTGGTTGTTACCCGTGTCTTCTGCAATGTTCCCTGAGCCTTAGGTATAGGGGCTGCATTGCAGATGTATCAATTGGATACCTTTGTAGAATTTTTGTAATAGTCTCCATCTGTTGCAAAAAGAAATTCTTTGATGAGTGGTGAAAGCTATGCTTTTCTGTGTGATACAAGTATTTAGAATGCAGTTAGAAATTATATTTGTTTAGGAAACTGGCAGTAGTTCTCTCCCAGGTCTATGACCTCTCCAGCCATGGATGTCTACATTTACAGTAGCAGCCAAGAATTCCCTCTTATTGAGTAGGCCTTAAGTTCAATTAGATAGCTATTGGTAACCCCCCAAGATAAAAGTGCCACTATTTCACCCTTAGGGATTCTTTTTTACTGTGCTAGTCATTGCTGTGGTTCATACATAGGCTTTACAGTGGGGCAGAACTATTGATTGCTTTTCTCCCTTGGCAGCTTACATAGTACCTTCTGATACTATGAAAGCCGATTGTCAGGGAGGAGGTTTCCAGCTTGACTGCTCTAACTAAGTACTGTGTCTGAAGTATGTGGTGTCTTTAGCAATAGGGTCTTATCTTCAAATTCTGGTAGGAAATCAAGGGTGATGGGACTAGCTTACATTGTTTTGGGAGTCTCTTGAACTACCCTAACAAATAGTTAGGTTTCCTTTGTCTGGCACTGGGAATTTTGTTAGTTTTTGGCCACATACACACACACACACACACACACACACACAAGCATGCACATTTATGTATGTATTTTTAAGTAAGCTCATAAAATAGTGCATTTCCTATGGCTTTTGCAGACACTTTTAGTATTATTTTTCTCTCCTTTATTCCCCTCCCTCCCCAGTTACAGTCCTCCATTTTTCCTGTGCCCCCTTGACAACACCTGTATTCTACTATCCCCCTCTCTAGAGCTCCTTCTCCATTCCCCTCCCCATGGTCCCTTTCCACTCTTCTGGTTTCTTCAGTTACTTCAGGTTATACACTCACATCTAAAGATTCAGAGCTAGGATCCACATGCAGAGAGAGAACATGCAGTGTTTACCTTTCTGGGTCTGGGTTGCCTCACTCAGTAATGTTTTCCAGTTCTATCCATCTGCCTGCAAATTTCATAATTTCATTTTTCTTTACAGCTAAATGGGACTCCATTGTGTATATGCACTATGTTTCCATCATTTATCCACTGAAGGACATTTAGGCTGTTTCCATTTCCTAGATATTGTGAAAAGAGCAGCAGAGAACATGGTTGAGCAAGTAGCTCTGTCATAGGATTTTGAGTCCTTTGAGCATATGCCAAGGAGTGGTATAGCGGGGCCACATGGTAGATCTACGTTCAGGTTTTGAGAAGTATCCACACTGATTTGTATAGTGGCTGCACCAATTTGCAATCCCACCAGCAGCACATAAGGGTAAAAGATTTACTACTTTTAATCTTTATTTATGTGTACATGGAGGCCAGAAAAGTGTGTCAAATCCCTTGGAGCTGGAGTTACAGGTGGTTGTGAGCCACTCAGTGTGTTCTGGGAAGCGAACTCGGGTCCTCTAAAAGAGCATCAAGCGTTCTTCACTGCTGAGCCGTCTCTCTAGCCCCAAATTATACATATTTTTTAATTTAGAAAATGAATTAAGTATTTTTCTCTTACATAAAATGTTTTTAGGAGGAGTAGAAAATTATTGAATACTTTCTACTGAATCTAAATTAAATGACTTTTAATGAACTGGCATTTCCTTTTGTTGTTCAACAAAAGGAAAAATGGAAAAAAAAAATCTGTTATCAATAAAGGAAGCACAAACTTTGGGCATTTTAAGAGAAGATAAGGTTAACCTTGTCTCAGAATATGGAGAACCATTGCATCTTTTTTTCTTTTTAATAATTTTTGTTTGAAATTATGTGTATATGTGTGGATATATGCACGTGTGCAGTGCCCATGGAGGCCAGAGAGGGCGTCAGAACCCCTGGAGCTGGAGCCACAGGAAGTTGTGAGCCACCTGCTCTTGAAGAGCATCAAGCACTCTTAACTGCTGGACCATCTCCCCAGCCCTCGTTGTATCTTTTAAGAGATAACCCGGCAATGTGGCATCAATTTGGCTTTGAGCACCCGGGCAAGATGTGGGTCTAGAGTCTTAGCTTCTGCAGCATTTACTTTCTTGAGCTTTATCTGTACATAGCTAATTATCTAGTGTTGAAATGGCACTTGACTTAGTTCAGGTCTCCATGACTGTCATTGTATAAAAGACAAATCAAAATCCGGCAACTTAAGTGGCTTCTGTTTATGAAGCAGTGCTGAAAACATACAGAAAGATAAAGACTCTCATGAAGTCCAGTTGGTTGGGACTCAGTGAGGGCATTGCTGCCCACTTGGTGTGTGTGCTGCAAAGCGCCTTAACACTCGGCACAGAATGTACTGTGATCAATAGCTGTCTGGTGCATAAGTGCTATTTTATCATCTGTAAAACATTAACGTCCCTCAGATACCAAAAGTGATACAACTCTATGCTGTCCATAAAGACACAGTGCCAGCATTAGCTAACAAGTCAGTAGAACTGATCAGAAGACTATCTCTGATCCTAGTCTCAGTAGGTCCTCTGCACCAGTGTTTTTACGTGGGTTCCAGGGATCAGACACAGATCATCAGGCTTGCACAATCACATCAAGCGTTTTTACTTACTAAGCCATTTTGCCAGCCCCCACTTTTTAGTTTTTAGAGAGTGCATTCACAGTGAGGTTTTACAGAGATTCAGAAACACTGTTTTTAACACTGTGACACTCTAACTCCATAGACTTGGAGCTTAGCATTATTTCATGAGCAGGAGGAAAAGGTCTGGCTGTAGAAATGTGTTCCAAATACACAGCCTCTGAATACAAAAAGCATAGCCAAACTCAGACAAAGTCTGATGAACTGGGTGGAACATAAGCAGGCAAATTCAGTTGATATTTAGTTTGTGCTAGTCACCTGGGATCTTTGCATATGTGTAGAATACCACTTAACCAGTTATGGGGTCAGGCTTTTAGCCCCTGGGAGAGCAGGTACTTTATTCCTGTTTTTTTAATGCATTTGTGGGGCTGGGGAGATGTCTCAGTGGTAAGGACCTGGGTCTGATTACCAGCACACACAGCAACTAACAACTCTACGTAACTCCAGTTCCAAGGAATCTGACGCCTTCTTCTGACCTCCATGGACACTGCACAACATGGGTGCACTTACACACATGTAGACAATACACTCATAAAATTAAAAAAAACTAAAAAACAAAATAAAGTAAAAGTAGTAAATAGTAAAAAAATAAAAGTAAATAACCTTTTCTGGTCATATTATTCTATAAAAAGGCACTATACCCCAGTGTTGGGGGTACACCCCTGAGTGAGATGTGACCCCTAACCTCATGAGACTCATGATGAAATCCTCTCTGCAGGAGAGAGACAGCAATGCTCTCTGTCAGTCCTACGGGATCAATTTTGGGAGCATCTTCCACCAGATGCCCAGGGCCATAGGGTAAATGTTGGTAACTTGGCTAAGGAAGAATTTGAGGAATGGTAAGGTCAGGCAATGAGCAATATTGAGCAGAAACTTCTTCCCCTATGGCTTTTTTCTATTTTTTTAATAGGCTTCCTTTAGAAGAATTTTTTTTTTACCAAGTCAGTGATCTCTAAAACCACCTCTAATAAGTGTAATCTAGTGTCTTATAAAGCTATGCCTATTTGTTGGTGAATTGTAGACGTACAATATAACGAGTATGATGGCAGAAGTAAGCTCAAGATGCTCAGAGAAGGTTTAGAAAGAGGTAAGTCTTGACAGGGTATGGAAAGGTGCATATAGAGTTCTGCTTCCAAGGAGCAGCTGAGGCTGGAGGTGATTGCTAAAGACAGATCAGGAACTCACCTACTGGGGAGCAAGTTTTTCTTAGCAAAAGCAACAGCACATGCAAAAGCATGGTGATGTGAGAAAGCATATGCCCCACAGCCTGCTAGACAGTAGTTCCTGCTTATCCACAGGTAGTACATTCCAAAACCCCCAGTGGATGTTAAAATTACAGATCATATCAAACTATATGTACTTTTCCCCTATACAACTGTGTTAGTTACTTGTCTTGTTGCTATGACAAAGATGCAAATAAAGGGAGACTATTCGAAATAGATCAACATTCTTTTTTTGGTCTTTTTGGAGACAGAGTCTCCCTGTAGCCCCAGCTGGCCTGGAACTTGCTTTGTAGAC